AGCCCATCATGGCTGTGACTGGAGATGAAACAGGTAAGAATTTTAAAGAGAGATTTAAATTAATTCTGAAAATTTTGAAGTGTAGAAAAATTTAGGGACCTCTGAGTGTTTCAAAAAGTATTAATTTTCTAGTGGCTGAGGAGTTAGAAGTTTCTTTTAATATTTATCTGTATGCAGCACACTCTGTGAAGGCATCTTAGTGTAAGTGCTCTTTTGCTCAGCGTATTGCTTATTTGACCAAGGCAGTAATCCGGTCTGTCTCTCTGTTCTGCTTTACTAAAATAAGCTGTTACTTCATCTGCAACCTGTTGCAAGTCCAGTGCAGCTACAAGTTAAACATACATACTGTTCAACCTGTAAAAAATTAAGCTTCCGATTTCATTGTTGTGTACAAATGTTGCTCCAAAACAGAAGAGGAAAACCCAGCGTGTTAGGGGTGTTTGCGTGCCTACTTGTTTCTTTCCTCCTGTATTTAAAATGGCCTGTACCTCAGCTAATCGAGTTCAAAGGGCTGACGTCACTACATTTCCTGGAATCGTGTTCGGCAGGGAAGTGGAAAAGTTAAACTCCAAGCGAGCTACACATTGACGTCAGCTCCGAGTCATGCTGTGATTTAGTCAGTTCCTTTCGGCTTTGTCAAGTGCTGCTGACAGATTTAGAGTTGTTAACTGGCTCGCCACTGCCTCTATCTCCAAGATCGCTCTTACACTGAATAGCTTTTCTCGTAAGCCTTACTTTAACATTTCTCTTGAGGTAAGTATCTGCTTGACGAGGGGGAACGCTTTGTGGAACCTGTAGTGCTTGGGTGAGCAGAACTCTGCAGCCGTCTGTCCCGCCTACGCCTACGTGGGAAGGTTGAGCCTGCCTCCTGCGGAGGCCGCCCCGCACGTGCCCCGGGAGAGGTGGGCTCTGGAGCTGGAAGGTTTCCGCACCCTTGCTCGCTCTCGGGCACTGGCGCCTCGGAGTGCCCTCTAGCGCTCAGTCAGGGGAGTGCTTGTCTGAAAGTTGTCGCCCCCACCCCCACCCCTCCACCTCCCAGTCTCAGTTCTTTAAATTTGTGATCAGTAATCCTGTTGTTTGGCTTTCTTAATTACAGGTAATGAGTCAGACTTTGCTGCTAATGTTCTGTATTAGGGTTGCATTGTTTTTTTCTGTGGTGTCTCATTTTTGACCTCTGAATTTGCAGCTGAATTCACGAAGAATGGATGATTGTAAACAGCTTCACCACAGTTTAGCTTTTCAGAGTTAGTGGGTCTAAATCCTCTTCCTAGATGGGAACATTCCATTGATTTGAGCAACTAAAACCTGTATTAAAGCGTTTTGAAAATTATCTTGATGCGCTATTATTTTTCTCAAAGAAGTTTTGGTGAAATTTTATGAAAAGCTATAGATTGCAGAAACTCTCAAATGACAAGTTTATTGTAAGATGGATGGACTTAAAATAATCCCAAATACTGCAGTATGATTCTAGAAGCAAGAGGCATTTTGTGCATGTATTTATTTGCTAAAAATCATTAGTTGGCTTATATCTTTCTTTACTACGTAAGGCTTTAATTCCAGTTCTCATGTCTAACCATGAGAGAAAATTATAATAAAAAATAAAAGATCTGAAAATACACAATATATTTAAAGATGAAAGTTTAAGGTAAAACTTTGCATATATTTTTAATCATTGCTTGTAAGTGAACATTTTTATACATTTATATGTACAGAATGAACATATACCATCCTTGAAGAGCTTTGTTTCACAGTTTTACCTATAATGCTTATACATGAGTTACTAACAATTTAAAATCTTCCAAATGCTAAAACTAAAAAATGTCAAACTTTTTTCACAAGACCTCATTGTACTTTGGAAATCATTATTTTTAGAAATCTGATCAGTTCTCACAGAACCAATTCTATTTTGAAATGCTGTTTAAAAATGAACAACAGTTTTTTTTGTTTTGTTTTGAGGAGCCGAAAGAGCACAGTGTTTAAGGGACTTTTTTGAAGTACTAGTAGAGGAGCTACCTGTGTGTATTGGTGAACCAAGTGGACTGATGTAGATCTTTGGCTTACACATTTTTTTGACCATGACCCACATTTTTACATCATGATGCTGTATACCTGTGTGTGTATGTGTGTGTGTGTATGTACATAAAACAAGTTTTCTTTTTTCTTTATTTTTATTTAAATTCAATTAATTAACATATATAAATAACATATAATTATTGGTTTCAGAGGTAGAGGTCAGTGATTCATCAGTCTTATATAATACCTAGTGCTCATTACATCACATACCCTCCTTAATGCCCATCACCCAGTTACCCCATCCCCCCACTCCTCTCCCCTCCAGCAACCCTCAGTTTGTTTCCTATGATTAAGAGTCTCTTCTGGTTTGTCTCTAATGCTTATCTTGGGGCGCCTGGGTAGCTCAGTCAGTTAAGCTTCTGACTCTTGATCTCAGCTCAGGTCTTGATCTCAGGGTCATGAGTTCAAACCCTGCAGTGTTTTTGGTGTGTTTGTTTGTTTAAAGTGCTTATCTTTACATATAGTAGAGATGTAATGGACTTTTCTATTTTTCTGTTGCTCATGAAATTGATTTTATGACCCACTAATGGTCTAAAACTTACAGTTTGAAAAACTTGTCTAGACCAAAACCAGGCTCCTAACAATGACTGGTATGGGAAAAGTTTTCAGGAGTATTTATTTATAGAATCATGGAATAAAATGTGGAAAGCAAATATCTGTAGTTTATAGAATTGTATTATTGAGACTTTTGGGTATAGTTTAAATTTTTGTTAGAAATAGTTTTTGGCTTTATTCATAAGCTGATTATGTTAAGAGCCTCACTCCAAATCTTTTAGTCTCTGAGTCTTAAAAACTCTAATACATTGTATTCAGCGTGGACTTCTGAACTGTTAAAAATAAATATTCAAATTTGGAAAATAGTGTCTTAGTTAATATTTGATGCATGAGAATAAGGATACATTTCCCTTGTGAAAGGAGGGTACTTGAAAAGGTTATTGTTGGGCAATTTTCACATAAAAGAAAGGTTTGGATCAGGTGTAATAGCTTCTTAAACTTGCCAGCAAAGCAAGTTATAATTATGTTGGAAGTGAAAAAAGTCACTTATCTACTTTAAGTTTTAATACAACTCCAAATCTGTATGGAAGGTTTACTGAAATTTCCATCGTGCTATGTTCCCACTAATACTGAAAAAATTTCAGTGAAGTATTTTTTGGGATGATTGTTTCACTCTGCCTGGTTTTATTTGCCTATATGAATATATTGCTTAATAAAATAATTGTGATACTTTGCATTTATGTAAGCTTTAAAAAAATTACAGTGTTACAATATAAATACAAATGTTGTCAGTGCTATCAAACGATCAGATGGTGAGAGACCTACAGGAAGCAGGTAATATAGGTTAAAGGATCCGGGTAGGCCTCGCTGAGGAAAGTATATTTAAATACCCAAGAGGAGAAGCACTTTCCATGTAATTTTACTGATGCACTCGGAGCAGATCGTATTATATTCATTTTCCATATAACAACATGGATCAGAGTGGTAAATAACTCTTCCAAGCTCACAAAGCTAACAAGTGGTGAACCAGTTTGGACCTTCAGACTTCAGGAACAGACCTTGTCTGATTCTGTTCACACCATATTACAATGCTCCTAAAAATTCACCTGATAAATTCATGCTGAGGTTAGATGAATTACCACAGTATACTACACACTACTTAGAAAACATACAAAATAAAGCTAGCATCATTTTAAGTAGTCAAAATGGATTTTTTCTAGAATATTTATTATTACTCTCACAGGGCAAGAGAGTATATATTTGATATATATAGAACTTTTCATTTCAACATTTATACTTTCTCATCTTTTACATAGACTCTTTTTTGACTCTTAAGATTTTCACTTAAACAACTCAGGAAGTTCCCTTTTATGTAACTTAAAGTAAAAATCGTTAACGACTTAATTCTTTGTGGTCTAAGTGTTATAATTATTGTAACAAATTTGAAAATGTTCATTGCTTAAGTAGTCATGTTTATGTAGGGTTTCATTTTCCTGGAAAAAATAGAGCAGTGGAGAAGGGAAAGATTTTGACGGTGGGAGACACCAGGCAAGGACAAGGCTAATTTGGGCTTCGTGTGCCCTGGCGTGATGGAAGGGAGGGAGAGCGAAAAAAGAAAAGTGAAGTTGTTAGTAGCTTCTTGGAGCTACGAAAGAGAAGTCCCCTGCTTATCAGTACAACTTCAAAGTTAGCTCATTGCTTGTTACTTAGGTAGATTTGGGATAAGGGACACCTAGCGAAATGACATATGAAGGTAGGAGCTCCATTTATAAAAATGTTTTTATGGAGTTAATGTGCTCGGTACTACAGATATCTCAGTAGATAAACAAAACCACCAACATTTGGGATGTGGATAAGTTGTTCCACTTTGAAAACTATCAAGATAGGCATTTGGCTGAGTTTCTTCTTTCTTTCTTTGTTAGGAAGAAACAAGCACCTCTTTGACTTGTTAGGCTTTTCAGTGAGTTTTCTTATTACCAGTCTGATGAAACTGTCTCATAGGGTTACTTGTGATTCTCCACCTTTGAGGTTCTATTCTAAGTGATTATAAACATTGAAAAGGACTTTTATTATCTTTTAATAATCTAAAGGAATATAATAAAATAGAGTATAAATTTTAGAAGTTTTTAGTAGGCATATTTTTAAACAAAATAAGGAATAAGAGCCATACGTCTCAATCATTCTATTACCCAGGTTTGTTAGAAGGGAAACTCCAGGGGAAAATATATTTATGGATGTTATATGCCTTTTAACTAATATACAGTATAAGCATAATTTGGACCATTGTCTTTCAGAACTTAAGGAAGGGAAGAGGAAGGGAACTAACATTTGCTGAATGCCTACCATGTGCCAGGCACTGTGCTAGACACTTTGACATACATTACAGGGTTTATTGTGAGTATTAAATGAGATAATGTATCCCCATTTTACAGATGAGGAAACTGAACTTGCCCCAAGTCACATGGCTGGTAAGTGGCAGAGCTGGACTAGAATCCAGACTCCAGATCCCATGCTTTTTCTACTGTACTGTGTTTAAAGCTTGCGAAGAGAGGTATGAAGCTTAATGACCAGAATTGAGAGTTCTAGGAATTTGCTTTTTCCATGAAATATTTGATACTAAACCTAAAAAAAAAAAAAAAATTGTTCATGTCAGGAGGGAGATAGTGGGAAATACACTGTAATTAGAACTCATCTGCTTCTCAAACGCCAGGTGAGATGACTAGTGTGTAAGGGAAGATTAGGAAGTAATGCCAGTTGGAGTAAATACATAGCATCTTGTGAGAGCTTCCCACATCATAGTGTTAAAGACTTAGCTATAATAATAGCTAATAATAGTCTTATAATCATACTGCTTATTTTAAACATTCAAATGACAGTGGGCTTGGCCAAAACCCTGGGAAGTTCAAAATTTCCTTTGTGGTGTACATGTAAACCCACCGAGCACCCATCATGTGCCTGATACTGTGCTGGGTTATAGGGGGTACCAAGCTAAAAAAGACAGCCCTGACTTTGAAGTTTTTGTTGCCTTAGGATAAAATCAGTATATAAGTATCTTTACCATATTATCTTTCTTCAATCCCACTGATGACTCATTTATTGTCAAGAAATAATGTATACAGTGGAATTCTAGAATAAATAGTGTGGACACACATTTAGTAGTTAGATGGAACAGGAATTAGCCTTTGTAGGAGTACAGGGATAAGAATATCTCATCAAAGACTGTAAGGTGGTTCTTTGAACTGTGATTCTAGGAATCGAATCTGCTTTAAATTGCCACTGAATTGATAATATTGGAAATTGAAGCTAACCAAGATAAAAACTTTATCACTTCTTTCAACAACAAAACTTTTTGACGTTTGGATTTTCTCAAAACAAGAGATTCTCTTTGCCCATGTCTTTTTAGTGTCCTTACTAATTAGATCATATTTGAATATATGGAATTTATCCATTGACATTTATTCTGTGACCACTAAAAGTATACCATCATAGATTGTTTTTTTTTTTAAAGATTTTTTTTTTTTAATTTATTTGAGAGATAGAGAATGAGAGATAGAGAGCACGAGAGGGAAGAGGGTCAGAGGGAGAAGCAGACTCCCTGCTGAGCAGGGAGCCCGATG